GCTTCACTTCAGCAAATAAAGCACCTTGGCTCCTTCTGAAGTCTTTCATTTGCTCAGTTCAAGCACCTGTCCAGTTACAGGTCAAATTGCAAGAACAGTCATGGCAATTCCTGTCACTCTTGATTTCACCTTAAAAGCAGATAGACTAAAGTAAGCTCAGCAAGAAGACCTCATCTGCTAGTTGACTCTGCCTGCAGAGCCTTATGTATAGGGAAATCTTTGACTCACTCATTAACTAAAGACTAACAAATATCCCTGAATCTGGCTGAAGGAATATTGACTTTAGGACTTTTTTTGTGTAAAGAAATTAGTGAAGGAATTCCTCATCATTTTGGGGAAGATAGACACTAATCTCTAACACTGATTGCATTAATCTTGACCAAGAACCACTTGAGATGACCTGCCTGAGCTTAATCAAAACCAGGTTATTAATATGGGCAGTCTGATCTACCTAGAATGATTGAGAGCAATATCTGTGCTTAGACTGAATTGTTTGTGATACCCACTTTAGTACGCCAAAGTTGACTTGACATTCTCAACTCTTGTAGGATCTGGTGTGGTGGTAGGTGTGCAGACCTGTTCTGGCTGGTCCATTCAAACTTCAGTATTTCTCTGCCTTATTTGGGGAGATCATTGAAGTGACTAAACCTAGTTTATTTTCTTTCCCTCAATCTGTTTCTTTGATCTAACCAGGGAAATGTTTCTTTCCCTTCTAAGGAAAAAAAAAAAAATCACCCTTGTTAAGGATGCCTGCATAAGTCAGTGACTTAAGAAATGTACTTGAGGTACGAGCAGCAATCACTCTTATTTTGTGAAATGCACTGTGAGCTGTAAAATCTTCATTCCATAAAGAGCTGATGCTGCCACTTGACCACAAGCAGTGTCCCACGTAGCTTATTTACAGAGGCTCAACACTGGCTTCACTTCAGCAAATAAAGCACCTTGGCTCCTTCTGAAGTCTTTCATGGGCTTGGACACTGTTAGTAAGGCAGCAATCCTTTGTGTCTACAGAGAGCTATCACCATCCCCCAGTTCTTCGAATGAAACACAGGATTATAAACAGTCATTGCTCAACAAGCCAGAGCAGGGAATTATACATGGCTTCAACTCAGGCATACTGCATTCTGCGGTACTGCTCAATCTTTCTCTTTTCCATAAGGAAATGGGTTCATAAAAGGAATACAACTGTTAAGAGCCTGATGAAATGCATTTTGGGAGTTCCTTTCCTTTCCTGGCGATGTCAACTTCACAAAATATGCTTTGTAACAATGAAACTCCTGTATTTTCTCTCTCTGGCTACAAGAAAAGTCTAGAGGAGGCAACATGGTCACTTGTAATTTAATCCTTGGAACAGGAGAGATGTTTCATAGCAGCTATTACTGAAGATAAAACAATGATTTCATATTGAATATACAAATTTCACATATCACTTATATTTGGGGGCTGATAGAGTGATGGACAGAACCTGAAAACAGCTTTGTTGGACAAGCTGGAAAGTTCTGCTGAATACTTGTTTGGCTGCATGATCAGCTAGCTACCTGTGATAACTCCTCAGCCCAACTAGTTGCACATCTCAGCCTGGCATCCTAAGGTTCAATTGTAAATCTTTGTAAATAGTATAAAGTAACTATTGGAGTGGTTGGCATGAGTGTTGGATTTACACAGGTAAAAATTTTGTCCTGCTTCTAAATAGAAAGTTACAGTTTTTAGCAAGTGTAACTGGGGCTGGTGGGGAAACAAAGTTTGGTGTTAGAATTTAGCCAGGTAGCTCAGCTGGACTGAAAAGTTCATTGTAGTGTGGAGAGGAAAGTATCTCAGCTCCTAAAACACACAGGCCTGAGGTCTACTTGCTTGCAAAAAGGATGAATCCTAGTAACTCCCCATTTCTGCAGTGACAAGCACTCATCATATCCTGACTGGTGAAGAGCAGCAATGTATGCTGAAGTATGAGCCTTGATGTTGAGAAAGGTGATGCCTTCGGTCCATAGCAATTTCTACCTTACTACAGGAGTAAGATGTAAGTTTTAGCTGTTTTACACACTGAAAGTGAACACTGCTCTTTACTCAATCACTTGGGATCTTACGTACTACATACTTCCAAGACTATGCAAATTTGAGTGGTCAAAACATGTTTGTGACAAAATACGCAAATTCTAGGATTTCCTTTATTTTCTGAAGAGATTGTTATACAACACATTAAAAGAATTAATTTGTAAGAGATTTTATCATTGTTTGTCTTTTATTGAGCCTATCTGACACAAAGGTTATGCAGACTTCCACAGTTTCAATGCCCTTGTCTCAAGTTGAATCCTGAAAGCTTCTCCCACCTTTTAAATAAAGACTTAGACATTCGACTGTGCTGGCTTTCCCTTCCACAACAATGTACATTCATTAATGCCCATACATGGGACATTTTATACTTCATTTAAAGTCGTTAAAGCTCCGGCTGACATGACTGAGTATAAAACAAAAAAAAAAGTATTATAGGACTCCTCCTTCCTGTCTCTCCTTAGCTTCTCCTCCTTCTAAGAGAAGGACTGACATCACAAACCTGCTCCTATCTCAACTAACCCCCAAAAGGTTTTCCTGTAGTCATCTGATGTTTTGATAGGACTGACTTTGTAATGATGCACAAGACACAAGTAAAGTGTTCGTTGCTCGTTGAGACTGAGCACTTGCATTCACTTTAATGTGAGAGCAATGGGCTTGGGCATCTTGACACCAGAGCTGCTTCATACAGATGGCAACTAGCTTTGCCCAGGACATACATCCTCCCTCAAACCGAGCAAGTCCAGGCTGCAAGAAGAAATGAATTGTCTACTAATGAATATTCTCTCAATCTTTTCTCAGCCTTATGAGTTTTAAAAGACTAGAACTCACTGTACCTTGTCTTTAATCCACACCATAATAATTTAAATCTTGCCTTGCTTCTACACTGAAACTACTTGTAAATAATTAAAACCTGTTCACGTTCATACCATCAATGTTATTTTGAATCTGAGCATGAGTAGTATGAAGAGTAACAAGAAGTCCAGGCCAAGCCTTAAAAGCATTCTACATCACTGAAGTCACTATTTAGTCTAACTTTCCTTTTTCAAATCAGGAGTGCCAGTTGGCATCTTCTGCAGCATGTGTTGTCTTCATACCTTTTTACTACTCAGTTACCAGCAACTAAAATAATAACAGATCTGCTCCACAGCACTAAGTATGGATAGTGCCCTAACTTTAAAACATATTCCTTCAAGCAATTAGCCATGGAAAAAAATAGAATTCTTCAAAGTGATAAAACTTGAGACTTCTGTCCTACATAGAAACATAAAAGGCCAGTAACAGGAAGCACAGGAATGTTTTCTAGGGAAAAAAAAAAAAAAGCAATGCTGCAGAAAAAGCACTTTTAAATCAATTCAGGTCCATATACTGCTGTTCCTTTTCCAAAGATACATTCCCGAAAAAAACCCCATGAGTCATGAAAAACAGTGTGCAAGTACTGCTAAGGGTGCAAGAGGAACAGAATGGTAGCAACACCACCACCTTCCCATACCTGCAACTTAACTTGCGAGACGCATATTCCTGACGCCGAGATCTGGGAAGTGCTGCCAAGGAAAACAACTGGGGGGGCTGGGATTATTCTCCCCTCTGCCCCTATTCCTGTGAGAGCCAGTTTGGGTGACTCAGTCCAGACTCTCTGTATTTGTGCCCAACAGATTTTTGACACCTCAACAACTGTGGAATTGTCATGACTTCCTCACACTGTACATTCTAGTGCTTCGCTAACTGTACTGATCTTCCAGCTTTCACTACTGCCTGATTTGCCTCCTTTGTGTCAGCTGAGGTCTGTTACTGCTTCTGTTTCTCAGCATCAGCCTGCATTTGTCCACCAGTATTCTCTTTTTCTTCAGGTAGGAAAGAACAGAACTTCAATGGTTCTTTTCTTGCCCCCATCTGAACTCTGTACTTAACTTCCTTCAAGTAAAAATGCTCAAAACATAAAACTGACTTTTACCACTGCAAATCCCATATGGTGGCTGCATTTTTTTTTTTTTTTTTTTTTTTTAACAGGGTGATCCTGACTTAGCAACTGTAACTCTCAATGTTCCTGCAGAGCAAGTCTGGAGCTAGCTCTTCCCCGGCCTCTACCTGTGGAACCTTTTGCCCATGTATGGTACCTTGCAACTGTTCCTTGAAGAAAAAAAAATAGTAAACAAGGAAGCTGAACTTAGCCTTCTACACTTAAGTCCTCTTTAAAACAAAACCAAACCCAAAACCAAGCAAACAAAAACACCACAAAACCAAAAACCCAACAAAAAGGACAACTTGAAGAGACCAACCTAGTCAAGGCAGAACACTTTTTATGTTCAAGGCAGCTCCACTTCTACCAGTTAAATTCCCACTTCTTCTTTCAAAAAACCAATTTGGATTAAGAAGCAATACAGCTAAACAAGAAGTCCTGCTCATCTGTTTCTTTGATGCTGACACTACTGTTTGCACACCTTCATAGTACAACCAGAACAAGGATCTAGTGTCTTGAAATGCATGGTCAAAACCGAGGAAAACAATGATGCATCCAATTTTATAACAGTGAAATAATAATGAAATAAAAATTTCTGTATCACATCTCTGACTTCAACAATGTTCTTACTACTTTAAAAAAGCACGCAGAAAAATCATGTATCATTTAACAGAAAATCTGTAGTGCCAAATGCACGTCAGTTTTTTAAAGTTATCAAGTGCTGTTCTAAGAATTAATTTTGCAATTAAAGAGTACAATCCCAAGCAATAATTTTTAAAAAAGCATTTATACTAGTTATTTCAAGTTGTACACATCAAAGGACACAGCACCACATCTTAAAGAGGAACAAATCCCATACATAATTTCCTTAGCTAGGAACAAGTGATTTCATACCAAAAAATACAAATATTCGTATCAGTACAATACTTAATATTATTTCAGAAAAATGTAAATAACCCAAAAATGTGCAGCCCATTTTGTTTCCTCATACTCATTGTTTCATAATGCTGTTTTGCAGAGTTCTTTGTAACCTAGCTATGTTGGCATCCAAGGCTGCTAAGCTATTCTTGAAGTCCTCTTCATCTCGAGAAGTAAATGTTGAGAAAGAGGATGCACTCCACTCAGACCTTCCTGATATGTCATTGAATAAAGTGGAACTAAAGTGAGTTATTTCACTGCCGTTTTTCTGAGAAACCTCTTTCTGAAAGGGCACTGGAAGGCGAGGGTATGTACCAGGCTGAGGCTGCTCTGCCTTACCAGTGAAGTCTTTTGCAGCTCCACTCGGAGTTCCCTTTGGCCTCATTTGGAATTTGTGTCCTTCTGGCTTCACTTTACCCCCTGTAACTTCAAGTGTGTTTTCCATAGTCTTTTTCACACTGTACCCAGCAGTTAATTTATCCAGAACAGTTGGCTCCCTTGATAACTCACCTCCATCCTGCTGCACAGAGTTTGAGAGCTCACAGTTGTACCCCAATGCCTTACACGCCCCTCTGCTTCGGGGCAGCACACCAGTTCCTTCAGAGAGCGGCGCGTTGTTTTTAGAGGCGCTGCTAGTCAAGGGAATATAGACAGTCTCATCCAACCTGTTTTGGTCTCCTAGTAAAGTCCCAGAGTCACTAACTGTTTCTGCATCTTGCTTCGGTGAGGTTATTAGTTTTCTGGGAGCTGATGTCACTTCTTCTAAGAATGTACTACTGGCTTTATTTCCTTCAGCAGCAGCAGACTTTCCAAAGGCTGGATTTCGCATTTCTAATTCTCCACTTTTATTTGAGAACTGAAGTTCTGTATTTGTCAAAACATGATCCATTTCTAATTTTTTAAAGTAAGTCATTACTGAAGTACTCCCAGGAAATGGATCAGGCTGCATTTGCTTTTCATGGTCTTCCAAGAGAGACTTCGAGAGACCTTTTTCACGTTTGGATCTAATATTGTCTACTGTGAGATCAGACAGAACTTTGGCCATACTGCCCTGCAGGGTTCTGGTAAGATAAGACCAATTAATCAGATGTAAAAACAGTCACTAAAAGAATAGTTTAAATTTTTTTTATATCACATCAAAACATTAGATCTATCAAACTCCAACAAAGTTGGAATTCTCTTTCTACATGTTGCCATAAAATGTACTATAAATGTCAACCAATTCCAAGTTTCTTGAATTTCTTTCTTCAGCTCAGCTACGTGCCTATATAGTCCATATATGCCTATATATGCCTATAAAGTAACTAGAATAGCACAACCCACTGAAGTCCTTGAGATTATTCCTGAATCACCTGCTTTGAGTACTATAAAATGAAATAAATGGATGCCAAGAACCTGTTACAAAACACAGAAAGTTATTGTTATAGAAATTACTATAGAAAAATACATAGTTATATATTAATATATATGTGTGTGTATATATAAAGATAAAGAGACAGAAATTATTATAAGAAGCTATTTCTTCACTATCACTGTCAGGGTGGTGAGACACCAGAACAGGTTGCCCAGGGGAGTTGTGGATCCTCCATCACTGGAGATGTTCAAGAACAAGTTGGATGGGGCACTGAACAACCTGGTCTAGTGGGAGAAGCCCCTTCCTGTGGCAGGGGGGTTGGAACAAGGTGATCTTTAAGGTCCCTTCCAACCAAACCATTCTATGATTCTACGATTATCAAAATAGGTGACAATTTTTTTTTTAAATCACTCTTCCCATTGCATCTAAATTTTAAAAAAATTTGTCTGATTTTCTGCTTTGTACATCAAAATAAATGCTTAAACACTTAGATATATAATATATTATATATGTATAATAAGACATCATTATACTACCATCTGGTGGTCAGTGTAGTAGTCATAAAAATGTGTAATGTATCCAGAAGTCTGAAGTATTGGTTAAAAATACTCTGCCATTCCAATCAATATCAAATATGAAGAAGGCAGACAACAGTTTTACTTCCTCCGAGTATCACAACCAAACAAATTTTATGTCCATACCACTCTGAATGTGCAAAAAGCTATTTAACTTTCCCAGCTTGCCACTATATTCATCATAAAAGAACAGGATGAAACAAATTCACATCAATAGCTCTAAAAAAACTCCAACACCACCATCATGCAGTGATCCAAGAACTCCCATTTTAACCTACAATTAATATCTGCACATAATCTACCTCAAATACATGTACAGCTAAAGAAAGGACTGCTCATTTCCACAAGAAGAGCTTGCTGTGGGTTCTGAAGGCAGATCTTTCTGTGAGCCCTACTCAAAAAGAGACCAATTTCTGAACCAGTGTGAAGAAAGAAAGAAAGAAAAAAAAAATTCCTCCTTAATTCCGGTTAAGAGTTAAGTGTCCAAATTCTATAGCTTCAAGCAACGTATAAGTGGATTCTCCGGTCCATGCACTTCCCATAGAGCTCCTGATCAGCAGGTCTGCTACAAAGAGTTAAAACTTCACACAAGTTATGGCAGATAGCCATTTACTTTACAACAGAACTCAAGTCGTGGAGCACAACAACTCTGTCTTACCAAAATTACAGCCCCACTGTAGCAAAAGTACCTATGAAGAGTTTTAGCCTATGTGACCTCCCACCACCAAGTCACTCAGATGGAAACACTGCGAAGCAAGGAGGCGTATCCAGTAGTACCTGGTGAGCTCCCGCAGCCTGGTCACTTCCGCATCACGCTGACGCAGCGTTATGCCCAAAATCTTATTTTCTTTCTCTGAAGCTTCCAGCTTAAACTGAAGGCTCTTCACATTTGCTAATGCCTCTTCCATTTCTAAAATGCCAAGAAGAATTTACCTAATTATTTAAGTTTTAAAACACTAAATGAAGAATAAACAAATTCAAAACACATACCAATCTTGAGCTTGGTGGAATGAATGTCATAATGCTGTTTGTTTTCAAGCAATTCTTGCTCTTTATCTTGAATATCTTTTGCAAGATGTTTATTTTCTTTTTTCTGGCTTTCTATTATTTTAAGTAATTCTTCATTTTTAGCCTGCAGTGACTCAAGGCCTTTCAGTGATTCTTTCAATTGACTCTGGAGCATCATACTCAAGGACTGCAAAGAAACTATTACCAGAAGCAAAACATGAGAAGTTTTAAGTGTTTTGTGTGGTACAGTTTGAATTTCTAGATCAACTTAAGTTCTAAAATAGTCTTGGTAATGTGAATTTTCCTTACAGGTAGAAGGAGTTCCTGAGGCAGCAAGGTAAAACTCAAGCTATCTAAATGTCACCTTCGTAAGGAAAAACGATCTGCTTGGCAGCTAAAAGCAGAGTCTCACTATATGGAGTCTAAACAAATACCACAACCCATGCAAATGCAATTGCACAATTAGACCCACATTTAGCTCAGTGGTCCCTAAATACATACCACAATACATAGTTATTTCTATTAATATATCTATATCTTTACATATTTCTACATCTATATATTGTACATAAATAGGTATATATAAAAAATAATCTATTAGTACTTTACATTCATAATTGCAGCTCTGTCCAGATGTCTTCTCACTTCTTTCTCGTTCCTCAAGTTTTTGGTTTAATATTCTGAGTCTCCTAAATGTGAATTATGACAAAGTTTGACATTTCAGAGATTCAGAAAGTTCAGAGTAAGTTCAAAAGCACTGCATTTTAAAGTGGTTTGGTAAGAAGTTGCTGCAGGGAGTTAAATATCACAGAATGTTTTATAAATATATATAAAAAAATTTAATAATGCATCTTTCTAATATTCCTGTATTTTTTCAACACAAAAGACCACTCACAAATTCTGGTAAATATCTTTCTTCTGTTCTGAAGTGCTACCCAGGTAGCACTTGGGTGTCTGAGAGCTCCCCTGAAATGAGTGACATTTTTGCATAGGAGAACACACTACAAAAAGAATATAAGCAGGCCAGCTATCTTGACAACTGCATTTTTCAGAGAGAATGATACATTGATCCCACCCAGACAATGGTCAAATCATGATGTGTAACCAGTACTAACTGAAGTCTTGCTATGTGTTAATTATTTCTTTTTAAACTACATGGCCTTACCAACAGGCTCTCTCATACGTCAATGCTGCTCCGCCAGGAATGAAAGGGCCGAACACTTACAGCGTAACAGGGAGGTGCCATTCAGAACAGGCCAGCTGAAGATGCTGTAGGTGCATCTGCAGTGAACACAAAACCCGTGCTGAGCTACTGACCTCCTCAGGCAGGCGTTCTCACTTCGGAGGGGCTGCAAAGCCAGTGCTATTTCAGCCTGCACGTTCACACTTCCCACCACAGCTGGGAGCAATGCTACGCAGGCTTCCAGGTCACTCATCAGCCTTAACACCTCTGAGTCACCTGTAAGAAGTTGGGGGGAAAAAACACCCCGTGAACATTTACACTTGTAATGTGACAGTAATATTTTGTATGCAATTAAGCAATCTACAAAGTGATATGATAGCACCTGCTTATTTTTCCCCCCCAAGAAAACTTCGTCTTTATTTTAATTACATTTATTAAAAAAAAAAAAAAAAAAATTAAGCTTGCCCATGGAAACTATGCTTTAGGTTCTTGATAAATCACAACCCAATGGCTAGCTCTCTGACCAGTCTTGGTGGGATTGCTGTTGCAATCTGTCTACACTGCCCCTTCCTCAGGGGAAAATGCTGTGTATGAAATGAGGACAATCTTTACCCTAGCTCTTATGATAACTTAAAATACTCTAGAAAAATGATACTCATCCAGTTACAGTTGAGGAAAACCACACTAAGATGTCGCATACACCTTCCAGAACCTCACTCATTTAATGCAGCTCTCATATTGTTTCTATGCAATCACTCTACTACATGATGAAAAGGTCCTCACCTTGATCTGTTATCAGTGCTCTGAGCTCTCCCAGAAGATATTTTATAGTCTTAACTTTATGGGCTGTTTCTTCTGGACTTTCTTTTCTAGACTTTAGAACTTCCTTCACAAAACTTGTCTTACAGCTTGTATCTCTCACTGGGGCTTCTTCACTGACCATGTCCTCGCTGTGTTCTTCAGAAGTATCGTCCTCCTGGTTACTTGAAGCACTATGTTTTGCTGGACAATGATGGCACTTCTGTTCAGTCCTGCCATTCATTATTTCATGTGACTGTAACAGGGCCAGGTGAGCTTGTAGGCATCTTATCAAATCAGCTTCCTTCATCTGTTGCTCATGGTTTGGGGTCATCTCTTGGCCAGAGGAGGATGGGACTAACGTAGGCACTGTAGAGTTACTTAATGCACCTGATGCTACACAAGGGATCACACAAGGAGGAGCAGTGGCAGACTGTATTTGCACAGCAGTAGTAGGAGCAGCAGATACTAGTGGGCAAACCACAGGTTCTCCCATCTCTAGCACATGTTCATTGCTACTGTCTACAGGAACATCCTGCATGAAGAATATTCATACGACACAAAAAATTAATGTGATTTTTTCTAAATCTTAAAAAAAAAAACAAACCCCAAACTCCACACCCTTGGCTGACTCAATGTAGTCTTGATCATTCTTTGCAAATTATAAAAGCAACTACAACTCAGTTGCATAATTTTCCTGTATATTAAGGAGTAATTAAAAGGTAAATCTGGTTTAGATTACCTTTATCTTAAATGCAATTGGCAATATTAAAGCACAGAGGGCTTTCAGCTGTTCTGTAAAGAAAAAACCTTAGCAGTGTTTTGGTTTTGCTTTATGAGCACTCACTCCTTGAGCCAAACCAGAACAGGGAAGAAAAAGGAAAAGACAACACTGTTACCTTTCAATATTTTAAATAGATTAATTTCTTAAAAGTCAAGGACAGCACCAGCTCTACATGGGCTGCCTGCAGATGGAAGGCAAGTCTACAGTATTACAGTTTCAAGGTTCAAGCCCTTTACCACATTCCCAAGGTGGCAGCTGGTACTCTCCATTAGTTCTAGTCTGTACCCTGAAATATGCACGTATTTTAAAATGTGGCTCTAAGATACTACACAGTGTCTGAAGAAATAATCCACTTGGTCATTGGCAGGGAAAAGCTACTTATGAGATATGATTTCTTTTATCATGAGTTGGTTAATGATCCTCACGTGTTTTACTGAGCATGTCATCATTAACAGCAACGAATAATTTCCTGCACCTTCCATATTTGCTGTCCATTACAGACTTCACCATCCAGAGACAAGCAGATTGTTGAAATGCCTCCAACTGCATTTTTTCCATTGTCCACATGTAATATTTTTTAAATAGCAGTATTTTCCCTTATTGTTTATTCTGTTCATCACTACAGGTTGAAATATACCTTTTTTTGCTTATGGAAAATTATTACATAAATACAAGAAACCCCATACATTTAAATAAGTAGGCAATGGTAATTGAAAACATTTATTAATAGTCAGAATCAAACTTTCACTTACTGACTGAGTAGATAAAAGATTAGCTGAATGCTGCAGGGACAGAGCTGATGTGGAGGTAGGTAATCGATAACTAACAGCTGTAACATTTTGACATCCTAAAAAAAAACAACACTCATGGGTCAGGACAATTTTGAGCAGAACTAATACAGTAATATTGCAGGCTCTACATTAATTGCTCCACTAACCGTGACCTGAGGTCAGAAGAGGTGGTACAGCAGGCATTTCCTTGCTGTTATGCAGTGTTTGGCCAGTTATCAGAGACATCTGAGTTTGCACATGCTCGCACCGCTTCTGGTGCAGCACAGGAGGGTGCTGACTGCAAGGCATGTGAACTGGTTGAACCATCTGGCTCTGTGCTGCGCTAGGAAGTTCCTTCTCATTAGAATATATGGTGTGTGAGGCAAGTTTTCTATTTGATGTTGGCACTAGAGAGAAAGAAAGAACAAAAAACCTTGCTGAAGTTGTCCCTTTTCTCCATCTACATAAACACGTAGTATTTTCACGCATACTCCTTTGAAAAAGAACCCTATAGCCTAAGATTTCAGGCAGATTTTGACTCACCAGCAAATTAATTTTTTTTTTTTTTTTTTTTTTATTTCCCCAGACAGAACAACCTAACCCAGTTGGACAGACAGCTGTCTGTGAAGGAAGTACAGAAATTTAAACCTACAGAAGGCTAGTTCTCAAATGGAATTCATAATTCCTACAATCTCTGCTTAGCTGCTTCCCAAGTTTTTAAGCCATTCAGAATAACCCATACCAAAGCACTCTCCAAACATCATTTTCTTATGTTGGGTGTAATTAAACCATCGTACTTTCCGTGTTGGAAAACAATCGGCTCTGTGCTCGCCTTCCACAACTGACAAAACAGCCATCCTGCTGCACACCTGGTCTACAGGCCCCACCTGTCGACTGGATTAGAAATCACACAAAAGAAACAGAGAGAGGGAGAAATGCTAATCAAGGGTGAAATAGTTCAACTGAGAGCACGCAGCCTACAGCACAGCACTCCATCCACCTTTCCATTCAAATGCTCGGGCCCCTAAATCATTTGAGTTCTTATTATTTATTGCAACACTTCCCTGTTACCAGAAAATGATCTTTGAAAAAAGTCTGGCTGGACACATAGAACCACAGAACGATTTGGGTTGGAAGGGACCTTACAGATCATCTAGCTCCACCCCCCCTGCCATGGGCAGGGACACCTCCCACTAGACCAGGTCGTTCAAACTAACTCCAGGACAGCTTATAGACAAACACCAAGCACTGTAATCACAAAACAGTTTAGGTTGGAAGAGATCTTCAAGAACATCAAGTCCAACTGTTAACCCAGCACTGCCAGGTCAACCACTAAACCATGTCCCAAAGCACCACATCTACACATCTTTTAAATGTCTCCAGGGATGCTGACTCCACCACTTTCCTACGCAGCCTCTTCCAAGGTTTCACAACACTTTCTGTGAACATTTTTTCCTAACAGGCAATCTAAACTTCCTTTGGTCCAACTTGAGGGCGTTTCCTCTTGTCCTCTCTCTTGATACATGGGAAAACAGACCATCACCACCTCACTACAACCTCCTTTCAGGCAGCTGAAGAGAGTGACAAGGTCTCCCCTGAGCCTCCTTTTCTCCAGGCTCAACAACCCCACTTCCCTCAGCCATTCCTCATAAGACTTGTGCTCTAGACCTTTCACCACCTTCATTGCCTGTCTTTGGACATGCTCAAGCACCTCAGGGTCCTTCTTGTAGCAAGGGGCCAAAACTGAAACCAGTAGTCAAGGTATGGCCTTGCTCATGCCCAGTACAGGGGGACAATCACTGCCCTACTCCTGCTGGCCACACTACTTCTGATACAAGCCAGGATGCTGTTGGCCTTCTTGGCCACTTAAGCACACTGCTAGCTCATAATCAGTTGGCTGTCAGGCAGAATGCTCAGGTCCTTTTCTGCTGGACAGCTTTTCAGCTCCTCTTCCCCAAGCCTGCAGTGTTGCCTTGGGGTTGTTGTGACCCCAATGCTTCACTGTCTAAAGGAAACAAACAGGGCATGGGTATTATCATTCTTCTCCACACTTCCTACCAATAAACTCAATTATGCTGGCATTTGTAAACATATTCAGCTTTTTTCCTGGTACATGAAACTCAAAACATTTGTGAATTTCAGTAACTGTATAGTAAACATTTAGGGTAAACAAAAGGCAATGAGTAATGTTTACACCCTTCTGTGGACCCAGCTCTGGATCAAACTATAACAAATAACTACCAGAAGCCTTGTTATGCCTCTAAGTTGAGGAGTCTCTCAATGTTGTTTGAGAAAAAAGCAAGCACAAGAAAGCCCACTTACCACTTTCTTTTCGGGCATGGGCAGGAGTAACGTTTTTTTTCAACCCTGTCTTCTTGTAAGTATTTCCTCTGGTTAGCAAAGTCTTGGAAATAATTTTAACAGAATTTGTTTTCCCAGATTGTTTAGTCTCCCTTCCTAGTATTAGTCAAAAGAAAAATGAGTCAACAAAACAAACCAACATTCTTAAAAAAACTAAAAATGTAGCTTTGATTTTCAACAAGCACAACCTGTGGCCTCATTTTGTAAGATATTCTTCAGTAAAGCTGCACAACGGTCAAGTCCATTATGAATAGTATCAACCTGCAAAAAGAATACTGCAGTCAGAATGTGAGTATCACTGACTTCTTTCAGTAAACCAAGATACCATTTTAGAGGGGAGTGTTCCCCACTCTGTCATCTGAAGAACAACCGATAACCAATAAAAACGTGTCATTTGCCACATATTACTTTGCAACTACATAAAAGCTTGCAAACACACACATTTTGCAAAACAAAAAGTGCTACTGAACACGTGTCCATTTGCTGGATTTTGTGTTTTGGTAATAGTACGTGTGCAGTTTTTATTCTTATTCCCATGTACAGTTAGCTATTAACTACAATCTGTTTCTGTCTTGGAGGTAATTGACTCAGCACTACACAGAAAACAGTGCTGCAGCGCCGACTCCACAGAACTCATTCTATTTGGCACAAAAATCCAACAGATATGGCTATACTTCTGCTAGGACCAGCTCTAGTCCATAAACAGCATAGTTGTGTTTACAAACTACATCCTGTGCCTTAATGGGATTTGTCAGAGCCAAATTCATTGCACACAAAGCCAATTTGCATGTACCTGTAAGACACAGGCCAGACACTCCTGCTAGCTTTGCAGAAGCTATTTCTAGTCCAGATGTAATAGTATTCAAATTAATCTGTTTTTCTTCTATTATTCAAGATACTCCAGTTTTCCTTTTCATTAGGTAACAGAGATGACTGTATTAAAAAATCATTTAATTACCTGATCATCAGAGTCAGTGGAATGCAGACGGTATCCAGTCTCCACATCAGAATGACATCCTTTTCTTAAGCCAAACCTGAAAGAGTAAAATTCATTGTTTATACTACCTCCTTAATATGCTAAGTAAAAAAAAAACAACCTACTTTTATTCAATCATAGTCAAAGTAAGTTAAGTTTATCAAGAAACCAAGTATCTTTCTGAAAACTTCACACTGCTGCAACAAATATGTTTAGGGGATATGAAAAACTTGTGTCAAAAGAGAATTCAGTCTTTACCCAGCAGTTTGACACACTGCTAGTAACCGCACAACTCCAATCTTTTACAAAGCACGCACAGAGAGGCAACCCTGTATTTCTACAGGCAAAATTTCTATTCATTTTGTGTCTGTCTATTCATGGGCTGCCTATAACCTGACCATACTGTGTTTCAGCTAAAAATGTTTTTTTGATATATACAAAGAATTTTTGGCTAGTCATGAGGTATGACAAGTACAAGGTTTCCAAACACTCCAAAGTACACTCAATCTTTGACAGTATTTATGATAAAGGTCTTACTGTTTTCTTCCATTTGTTAATCTAGTTGTTCCTGTTAGCCTTCCAGAAGACAGTACCTGTTGAATACAGAAATATACCTTGATTTTCATTAAGTACTCTGATAACCTATCGAAGACTACCATTGCCTACTCATTCCAAGTACTGTGGCTGAGGCACATCAGCTAAAGGCAATTTACAGCTCTCAGAAATAGGAGGGGACCCATCGCTGCCTCAATCTTCCAGTTTCCTTTTCACAACCGCTGCCTTCGCAGCACGGAGGTTCACTCAGTGCTGCAGCATTCTACACATACAGCAATTCACTTAATGAAGCACTCAAGTGACACGCAAACGTACATTGCAGGCTGAAACCAAGCTGCACAAACGCACAGCTGAGCTTTGGGGATTTTAGGAATAACCTACGGTGGCTGCTCAAGCCACGGACACGCGGGGGGGAAGGGGG